ATTTTAGTTTTTCATATCACATATTTACATTCACAAATTATTAGTATTGTAGAACAGAACAAATTGTCAGACCAACCAAATAAAAAGGCTTTGTTTTGATTGTAAGATTTCCATTTTTAAACATGTGTCTCAAGTGAGAATGTTATTCGTTCCATAACCGAATTTCGTTGATTATTTCAGCCCATTCTAAAACAGTAGGTGCTTTGTCCTGTAGCCATTTTCATGTGATCTTGCTGGCTGCTTGTAGTATCTGAAGAAGGTATCTGTCTTTTTATTTTTTCAGCCTAGTTGTTATGTTTCCCAACCTAAATACACAAAAATTTTCCTCCAATTGCAGTCCTGTAATAAGCTTAATGTTACAATGGTTTTACATATATTTAACCAGTCACCATCAGTGATCCCTGCCTCCTTTTCCCATTTTTGTTTAATATATATGGTAGAGTTTGTTTTTCTTGACTGTAAAACAGAGTATGTGGAGTAGATTTGCTTTTTAGTAAGTTTTCCTTTACACACATCTAAAAAAAGCCCAATCAAGGCATCGCTCTCTTGGTTTTGGGGTCTGATATTTGCATTAAAATGATGTCTCAGCTGGAGATACCTAAAAAAAAAAAGTCATCTTTCTTCAATTTGAATTTATCTGTTAATTGTTGAAAGCTTTTTTTTTTTTCCCCCATCGGCTATTATTTTCCAATATGCAGTGATACCTATACTGCACCAGTAATGGAATTTCTTATCAGTTTTCGAAGGAGTGAATTGGGTGTCATATGTTGGGTAACCCCCTTTCAGCAGACTCATGTCTGAGCTCTTTGAGCCCCTTCAGTGGTGTTTTTATGTCACCATTTCCATTATGTAAAAGTAACTGTATCTTTTGTTTATCTCCTAAAATAGATGGAAGTCGAATGCCAGCCTCTGCTTGATCAGTTCCATTCCACTAGGCATCATTAAAAGTGTCACACCACAAAATCAAAACTCTAAGCTGTGTGGCTTTATAATAACTTTCAAGACATGGGAGAGCCATGCCTCCATCTTTTCTAGTTAATTGCATTGTCTCATATTTTATTCTTGGTCTTTGTTTGTTCCAAATAAAATTTGAAATCATTCTGTGTTATTCAGTAAATTGCCTTGAGGACACCTTAACTGTTAATGCCAGAAATAAAGAAGGTTTGGTAATACAGTCATTTTTATCAGTTCAATGTGTAAATTCAATGAATGTAACCATCACTCTAAATCTGCTTTTATACTAAATGTTAGCTTTTAACACTGCGTGAGTTGTGTGCTCCTCTGTGTCTTTTATTTATTGTTTTTTTTTTATCTATTTTTTAGTGCAACCTTTTAGAGCCCGACCGATATGGATTTTGTGTGGCTGATATGAAACCGATATAATGGGAGCTGGAGCTGCCGATAGCCGATATAATCGCCGATATATTTAGTGATGTAAAAATTCACTGTAAATCTTGAATTGTTAAAAAAACTTAGGTTTGGCTCTAGTGGATTCTAAATTGGGTTTATTTAGGCAACATTTATTGTTATTCTGACTCTTATGTCATATTTACAGACAGTAGATTGGCCTAATGGCATTTTGCATCACATTCTAGCTACTAGTGATGGGTATTCCATTTTTTTTTTTTGGAGAACCGGCTCTTTTGGCTTGGCTCACTAAAGCAGCTGGCTCTTTCGGCTCCCAAAGGACTCTTGAGATTGTTTTGTTGCAAGCAGGACTAAACCAAAACTGAACCAGGACTGAAAAAGGACTAAACCAGGACTAAAACAGATTTAAACCATGTGTAAAACAGGACTAAACCAGAACTGAACCAGGACTGAGTGTCGAGACTCGGTCTCTCCCTCACTCGAGCCCAAGATTAGTCCTGGTTTATCCATTTTATGCTGAACTGAAGCCAAATATGCAATTTTTTTATTTTTTTTTTTTTATCCTATGCACACGCAGATTTCTGGAAGTTTCGTTTTTAGGCACTGCTGCTGTCAAACTACGGGTCTACAAGCGGCTTGAAGAGAAAAAGTGAGAAAAAGAGAAAACACGGCTCCCAATAAGAAACATGCTCCCATTGTTTGCTTCAAAGGGCCTCTTCGCGACCGACCCATAACTCCTAAATAGTAAGGAAACTACCGCTATTAGCCTTTAGCGGTAATTAATTATATGCATAAATGTGGATCATTCACACGTTTATTCACAGCTCATTTACATATCAATGCTGGTCCAGTAACAAATATACGGCCAATATAGTCACTTTACAATTGGCCAATAGAAAACAGCCTGTTTATGTGCGGGATCTACAGCAGCTAATCGCTAATAACAAATAGCCAAAACTAGCTTCAAAGTCGATGTATTTCCAACACTCACACTTTGGAGACTGTTTTGTTTATAAAATGTACGATACAGATAAAAGTAGACTGGATTTCCAGAGACTCAGTAAGAAAACCCAAAATACTGTAACTCAAGCATATGTCCAAAGTGTAAGAGTCTGGCAGAGTCTGGACATAATATCTGATTTATAATTTGAAGTGGGTGACAGTAGCTCAGTTGGTAGCATTTGCCCAGCTATCTGAAAGTTGGTGGTTCGAATCCTGCTTTCGTCATTTGAGCATTAGATCCACTGACCCACAGGTTGGCGGTGTGATTCCAGCTCCCACAGATGAATGCTGCTCTTGTGTCCTTGGGCAAGACACTTAACCCACCTCGCTCTCAGTGTTTTGAGTACACTGGTGTATGAGTGTGTGTGTGAATGGGTGAGTGGTTAATTTATGTAAAGAGCTTTGAAGGTGGAAAAGCGCTGTATAAAAAAACAAGGAAGAAAACAAAGAAGGATTCCACTGTTTCATTCTAAAGATGGTTGATCAAGAGAACTCAAACTATTATTATTCAAGCAGAGGTTCAAAGTGTAAGAGGAACTGTCTAGACATAACATTTGATTTATAATTTGAAATAAATATAACTGAAGTATAAATAATGTTAAAAAAAAATAAAAAATCTGGTATTTTCAAAAATTGACCAAAAAAAAAAAAAAAAAGAAAGAGAGAAATCCTAAACCATAGCTGACGGAGTTGTACATAAAAATTTCAAATCACTTAAATATTTTCAGTTAATATATACTAATATATTAATATATACAGTATTTAAATGTTTTCATGAATATTTACAGTCCTTTTGACAATCTTTAATTTGCGTCTAAGATTCTTTTAGTATTCTTAATTCTAATTATCTATTCTCAATACTATTCTCAAAAATACTGTGCAGACATGTAATTGTAACTGTGTTTTGTCCGTATCACTTCACTTCTATGGCGTTTGAAAATATTTCTAAATTTCTCAAGTTAAAGAGCGGCCGATGCACAGGCTTAAGTTGTCCACAAGATGGCAGTATCTCCATGCTCTATATTTCCTTCAGAGACCATCAGCGATGTTGTAAGCCTTTTTGAATTATGTGCCAATTAACTGCATTATTTTTTATCTATCAAATCTTTACTATAAAATATAAATTGTAATAAAAAGTAAAAATATATAGGTCAGTATGTGTAACTTTAAAGGTGCACAATGCAATCTTGCAATTCTGTGGGCATCCACCTGTTTCCATGGAGATATTATTGCTTTGCCTGGAATGTTCCACAATATGGCATTTAAACTGTCATGATGTAAACAGGTGACGCCATCAGTCCATGTTACGATCTGTGGAAGGGTGAAACTGCTTATACTATATTAAATATTTTGAAAAATTTGCATTTTTTCTAAAGTTGAATGCCATACTGTGGCATTTTCAAAGCAGTATCATCTCCATGGAGACAAACAGGTGGTGTACGCAGAAAAAGATCCACAGTGCAGCTTTATTTAAACATGCTGTAATGTTTTTGTTATTTCTTTGGCATAAGGAAGCGCGTTCGGGGAAACTGATCCTTCTGTTCTAAATGGACTGTGACCAAAGGCGAGTGATTGGACTCCAAACCGGTTTAGATCCTGGTTTAGACCCCGGTCCAGACCACAGTCCAGACCCTGGTCCAGATCCCCCTGGCCTTTAGCAAGAAATAGACTTTACACTGGGGTCTGTAGAATAAATAAAGATACTGAGGCTAAATGATGGAGAGGAGGAAATGAGGAGAAGAGGTTAAATAAATCCACAAGAACAAAGTGGAGTTTTATTATCAAAGGTGCAGAGATGCCAAAAACTGTACTTGAGTAAGGGGCACATTACTTCAAAATATTAGTTTACTATTATAATACTAAAACATAGAAGGACCAAGTAGTGGTCTAAGAAAGTACACAACTAGAGTACATTTGGGAAATCCAATGGAACAAAGTGGATTTTATTATCAAAGGTGTAGAGATGCCAAAAACTGTACTGGAGTAATAGCATTATGACTTAAAAATATATATATTCTGAGTATATTAGAATAAAAGG